CCTCCTCCTCCTTTTCGGCCCTCCTCAGCCCTCCTCCTCCTCCTCCTCGTCGTCGGTCCTCCTCCTCCTCCTGCCCTTCCTCCTCCTGCTCATCCTCATCATCACAACCACTATCACCACCAATACCATCATCATCTGCAGCATCAGCATCATCAGCAGCAGCATCATCATAATCAGCATACTCATCAGCATCAGTATCATCATCAGCATCACCATCAAAAGCATCATCATCAGCATCATCAGCATCTGCATCAGCATCAGCATCGTCATCAGCAGCAGCAACAGCAGCAGCATAACCATAATCATGACAATCATCAGCATCGTCATCATCATCATCATCATCATCCAAATCAGCATCCTCATTAGCATCAACATCGTCATCCCCCACAATCAATAGCATCGACGTCGTCGCCGCCACCATCATCATCATCATCATCATCATCATCATCATCATCGTAATCATCACCATCATCATCGTCATAACCACCACCACCACCACCGTCGTAGTCATCGTCGTCACCATCATACCCGACCCATCATCAGAATCATAATCATAATCAGAATCAGAATCCAAATCATCATCAGCATCATCATCACCATCAGCAACATCATCATCAGCATCATCTTCTCCCTCATCGTACAACCATCATGAGCATCGTAAACATTGACATCGTCAGTGTCATCATCGGCAACATCATTATCTTCATAATCAGCATCCTCATCATCACCATCATCGGTTTCATCATCACCCTATCACCATCATCATGACCACCATCATCGTCAACGTCGTCATCGTCATCAGCAGCAGCATCATCATCAGCAGCAGCGACCGCATCATCATCATCATGATCATCATCATTATCAGAATCACAACCCCCATCAAAAACACCATCACCACCACCATCATCATCAGTATCATCGTCATCATCGTCAGCATAATCATCATGATCGTCATCATCAGCAGCAGCATCATCAGCATCGTCCTCAGCATCGTCATCAGCATCACCATCATCAGCGTCCTCCTCCTCCTCCTCACATTTACCATGCGCCTGCATCACAACATCACCATCATCGGTCACCGTCCGCATCGTCTGGGGTAACATGCGCACAATCATCACAATCAGCATCATCAGCATCATCATCATCATTACCGAAGTCATGATCGTCATCGTCATCATCACCGTCTCCACCGTCACAATCACCATCATTATCCTCAGTCCTTCTCATCATCCTCCCCGATCCTCCTCTGCCCCATAGTCCTCCTGAACACTCTTCATCCTCCTCGAATTCCTCCTCCTCCTCCTCATCAGCATCATCATCAACACCACCATCATCATCATTATCAGCATCATCAACATCAGCATCATCATCAACACCACCATCATCATCATCATCATCCTCATCTTAATCAGCATCAACATCATCATCATCATCAGCATCATCATCATCATCAACATCAGCAACATCAAAAGCATCATCATCATCGGTAGCATCATCATCATCATCGTCATCGTCATCAGCATCATCATTATCGTCATCGTCGTGATCATCATCATCATCATCATCATCATCATCATCATCAGCATCAGCATCATTATCATCGGTCCCCCCTCCTTCTCCTCCTCCTACCCCTACTCATCATCATCACAACGATCATTCTCCTCTCTTTCTCGGATATTATCCTCCTTCCCCTCTCACCATATCATCATCATCATCGTCATCATCCTCCTCCTCCTCCTCCTCATCATCATCATCATCATCATAATCATCATCATCATCATCATCATCATCGTCATCATCGTCATCATCGTCATCGTCATCATCACCACAACCACCACCACCATCATCATCCTCGCCGTCGTGGTAGTCGTCGGCGTCGTCATCAGCATCACCACCACCACCACCAAAACCATCATCTGTATCATCATCATAATCATCAGCAGCAGCATCAGCATCATACTCACCATCATCAGCATCATCATTATCATCAGCATAAGCATCATCATCCTCATCCTCATCCTAATATTCTTCTTCAGTATCATCATCATCATCATCAGCAGCAGCATCAGCATCAGCATCAGCATCAGCATCATCATCATCATCATCATCATCATCATCATCATCATCATCATCATCATCATCATCATCATCATCATCTGCATACAACCGACTAAGGCAGTGAGGCCCCAGAACACCTGCCAGCAAGTACAGCTGCCAGCAATCTACTCTATCTTCATGGTTCCTCCTCCTCCTCCCTCCTCCGCCTCCTCCCTCCTTCTCCATCCTGCTCCTCGTCCTCCTCCACCTCCACCTCCTCCTCCTCCTCCTCCTCCTTCTCCTCCTCCTCCCTCCCTTCTGCTCCTCCTCGATGGGCCTTCTCGGAGAAAGCTCCCCCACCTCGACCCCCCCTCTGCCCGCCGGCCGGGATTGATGCTCACACTGATGGTGCCGACTGTCAGGTCGCTCGGCGCCGATCGCCCCTGGGGGGCGCTCTCGTCATCGTCGTTGTCGCCGCCGTCACCGTCGTCGTTATCGTCGTTGTTGTCTTCGCCCTCGTCGTGGTCTTGGCGGCGAGCCCAGGGGAAAGTGAGAGGGGGCGGGCCTTCTCCGAAGGCTCGGGAGTCACCCGGCCTTCTGAGAAGCTCTGTGAGCCTTCCCAGAAGGCACAGAATGAAACCCTCAGAAGGCCGGGGGGGGCTTCCGAGAGAAGCCCCACCGCCTTCTGAGAAGGCCTCCTCCTTCTCAATTCCCCCCCTCGCTCGCCGCCGATCGTCGCTACCACCACAGCTCGCCATCGCTCGGACGTCCATTCCCCGTGCATGTTTCGATTTCGTGTGCGTATGCTTTGCGAGGTGCTCCAAGATACTCCCCGATGGCTCTCGCCGAGAAGTAATGCACACGTCCGAGCGATGCCAAGACAAGCGCCATGATTATCGCCATCCTCGCCGTCGCCATTCCCGATTGCCCCCGGGGGGGGGGGGGGGGCCTCAGGGCACGCCCAAAAAACGCCCGGGTGAGGGCGGCCCTGCGGCCCGCGCAGCATATAGAGAGCGGCACTCCTCGCGGCGCGCGGCGCGAAGGCGGGGGCGGCGCGTCGGGTGCTCGCGGCACGGGTGCTGGTGTGGGTGTCGACTCGCGCCCCGTTGATCGGCGGGAGTCGAGTCGAGAAGCCATACGCCGTTTGGCGCGTGGGCAGGAAAAGTGCGCATGCCTATGAAGAAGAAGAGGGGGCGCATCACGATTGTGAAGCAGAAAAACAGAGCGCAGCACGACTGTGAAGCAGAAAACTAAGCGCCCCACGACTGTGAAGCAGAGCAGACAGAGGAGGGGAGGGAGAAGATCGAGGTCGGTTCCGCGGGAGGGTACCCTGATGTTTTTCGTGCTGGTCGGATGCTCTGATGCATCCTGGGGGAGGGCGCCCTCGAGTGTTCTTCAGTTTGGGCCCACGGAGGGTCTGGGGGGAAGGTGATAAGGGGAGGGCCCCTTCTCAGAAGGCTCGGAAGTCCCCCGGCCTTTACGTTTCCTAAACCTTCCCCGAAGACACACAAGAAACTTCCCAGAAGGCGCGAGGCGTTCTGAGAAGTCCTGCCGCCTGCTGGGAAGGCCTCCTCCTTCTCACTTCCCCCCCTCGCTCACCGCCGAGCTCAGCCATGAAGGCTGGCCCCGGTCAGTGGGGGAGCGGCATGCCACAGCGGTGCCGGTTACCCCGCGCCGAGCGGCGGGTGAGACATGTAGCGTGCTCTGTTCTGGAAGATCTTGAAATCACCCTCCAGTGCAGATCATGCGTCAATAACATCGGCGATATCTCTCCAAGATCCGTCGCTGGAATCGCCAAAATGACACCTACACACAAAATGAGCAAACCTGATACAAAGATGACGTAAAGTGGGCGTCCGGGCACCAAACGTGACGTAAACGTGAACGTTCGGAGGTCCGCGCTCTGTCCCGCTGCAACACCCCCATGCAGCCATCGAGCTACCACAAGGAACGCCGCACGGGGACCCAAGCTGAGTTTCTGGCCACGGCGAGCCTTGCCCACGAATAGGCTCCTCGACGCGAACCCAAGGAACGGCTTTCAAGAACCAGATCACCTCCTGAGCTCGGAGTGGTCCTTACAGTCAACCCGCACATTCAGGATGGGCAACCTTCCCAAAGGCCATCCTCGGTCCGTCCTTGGCCACTTTCGTTGGCCGCGCCCCACTCGGAAAGCTCCGAAATGGCCTTCCAAGGCCCTTGCATCCTTATCGCACATCCTTACGATACGGGTCGACTGTATTTCAGCACCTCGACTGCAGCGCCGCCTCTCGCACGAAACACCCCCCGACCTGCGGGCCGCAGCCTCCGACCCACACCGGGGGAGCACAGGCTTCTCCCGGCCCTTCCACGCCGCCAGGCCACGTCGCAGCGCGGCGAGGAGGAGGCGGAGCAGGAGGAGGACAAGGAAGAGGCGAGATCTGACGCTTCGGGCCCTCGAGGCCCCATGGCTTGCCTGAGAGAGAAAGAGAAAAAAAAAGAAAAGAGGTGGGACGACGGGAACGGACGCGCGCCCCTCCTCTGTCGGAAGCCCTCAGGGGCGGCTGGGGGCGGAGAAAGGAATCGGCTGCTCTGGCGCGTGCCGCTCACCGGTGCGGCGTTGGCGGCGGGTGGCCAGCACGGTCCGATTTCGGCACGACGCTAGGCCCAACGCTCCCCCCGTCCCCTTCGTCGTCGCCGCCGCCGTCGTCGTCGGAGCGGAAGAGAGAAAGAGAGAGAGGGAGGGAGAGAGGGAAAAAGAGAGAGAGAGAGGGAGAAAGGGAGAGAGCGACAGGGACAAAGAGAGAGAGAGAGACAGAGAAAGACGGACAAACAGACAGAGAGACAGACAGACAGACAGATAGACAGAGACAGACAGACAGATAGAGACAGATACAGAGACAGAGACAGAGAAACGCTCGAAGAGAAAGACTGGCAGGCAGACAGACAGAGAGAGAAGGAGAGAGGCACAAGCAGGAGCAGGGGCCTCAAGCAACAACGCCCTGTTTCTTCCGGTCCTCCTTATCCAGCTCCAGGGCCTCGAAGATACTCGCGTCGATGCCTGGCGCCCGGCGGAGAGAGGGTCGTCGTCGAACGGCGGCATGGCCGAGTTCAGCGTGGGGGGGGGCTGGGTGGCTGGGTGGCACGTGGGCATGGCCCATGAGGTGTGGGCTGGATGGCACGGGGGGGGGGTGAGGAAGGGAGGGGTCCTCCTCCCCCTCCTCCTCCTCCTCCTCTCCTCCTCCTTCACCTCCTCCTCCTCCTCCTCCTTTTCGTCCTCCTCCTTTTCCTCCTCCTCCTCCTCGTCATCATCATCATCATCGTCATCATCAGCATCATCATCATCATCATCATCATCATCATCATCATCATCATCATCGTCATCCTCATCGTCATCGTGATCGTCATCAGCAGCAGCATAAGCATCAACATCATCATCAGCGTCAGCGTCATCATCATCATCATCATCATCATCATCATCATCATCATCATCATCATCATCATCATCATCATCATCATCATCATCATCATCCACATCATCCACATCATTGCCATCGTCATCGTCATCGTCGTCGTCATCATCACCATCACCATCACCATCACCATCATCATCATTCTCATCCTCATCATCATCCTCGTCATCATCATCGTCATCATCATCACCACCATCATCATCAGCATCAGCATCAGCATGAGCATCCTCATCATCAAAATCATCATCATTATCATCCACATCATCATCACGATCATCATCATCAGCAGCATCATCATCATCGGCACCATCATCATCATCGTCAGCATCATCACCATCATCAGCATCATCATCACCACCACCACATCATCATCATCATCAGCAGCAGCATCAGCATCGTCATCATCAACGTCATCAGCAGCATCACCGATATCATCCTCATCATCAACACCATCATCATGGTCATCATCGTCACCATCAACATCAGCAGCGTCGTCAACATCATCATCAGCAGCATCATCCTCCTTATCATCATCATCATCATCATCATCATCATCATCATCATCATCATCATCATCATCATCATCATCATCATCATCATCATCATCATCATCATCAGCACCATCACCATCATCATCATCAGCACCATCATCACAATCATGATCACCACCACCGTCATCATCAGCAGCACCATTATCATCGCCAGCAGCATCAGCATCAGCATCAGCATCATCATTATCGTCCTCATCGTCATCATCAAGATCATCGTCGTCGGCATCATGATCATCATGATCAGCATCATCTTATTCTTCATCATCATCAGGAGCATCGTCAGCATCATCATCAGCATCATCAGCAACAGCAGCATCATCATCAGCATCATCATCATCATCACCACCATCAGAATCATCAGCATCAGCATCAGCATGCATCAGCATCATCATCATCATCAGCATCCCCGTCATCGTCATAACATCGTCATTCTCCTCCGCATCATCATCATCATCATCATCATCATCATCATCATCATCATCATCATCATCAGCAATATCATCATCGGCGTCAGCATCACCCTTATGATCCACATCAGTATCATGATCAGAATCATCATCATCATCATCAGCATCATCGTCAGCATCATCATCAGCATCAGCATCAGCAGCAGCATAGTCATCATCAGCATCATCATCAGCAACAACATCGGTATCAGCAGTATCAGCATCCTCATGATCAGCATGAGCATCGTCATCATCAGCACAAGCATCACCATCATCATCAGCAGCATCATCATCAGAATCGTCATCATCATCATCAGCATCATCGTCAGCATCTTCATCATCATCATCATCATCAGTATCAGCACCACCACCCTCATCATCATCATCATCATCATCATCATCAGCATCATTATCATAATCACAGTCGTCGTCAGCAACATCATCATCAATCGTCCAGCCTACATCCTTCATCCTCCATCCTCCATCCTCCGTCCCCCTCCTCCTCTTCCGCGTCATCATCCGCCTCGTCCTTCTCCTCCTCATCCTCCTCCTCCTGCGACTCCTCATCCTCCTCCTTCTCCTCCTCCTCCTCCTGCTGCCCCATCCTCTTCCGCATCCTCCTTTCCTACTCCTCTAACGACGGCGACGACGACGACGGCGACCTCCGTGTCCAGTTGTTTCTCGAATCCCCTTCCTTCGAATGCAAGCACGTCAAATGTCCAACAAGTTTCCTCTTCCTCATCCTCCTCCTCCTCCTCCTCCTCCTCCTCCTCCTCCTCCTCCTCCTCCTCTTCCTTCGCCGCCTCCTCCTCCGCCGTCTCCTCCTCCTCCTCCTCCTCCTCCTCCTCCCTCATCCTCCTCCCCCTCCACCCCCCCCCCCTCCCTAATCCTCCTCTCCTCCTCCTCCTCTCCTCCTCCTCCTCCTCCTCCTCCTCCCTCCCTCCTCCTCCTCCTCCTCCTCCTCCTCCTCCTCCTCCTGTCTCCTCCCCTTGTTCCGTATCATGTTCATGGTTTTCTCTTCCTCCTCATCCTCCTCCTCCACCTCCTCCCCCTGCTCCTCCTCCTCCTCCTCCTCATCCCTCCCTCCTCCTCCTCCTCCTCCTCCTCCTCCTCCTCCTCCTCCTCCTCATCCCTTCATCCTCATCCTCATCCTCATCCTCATCCTCATCCTATCATCATCATCATCATCTCATCATCATCAGCATCATCATCATCGTCGTCATCATCACCATCATCACCATCATCACCACCATCACCATCATCACCATCATCATCATCATCACCACCACCACCACCACCACCACCACCATCATCATCATCATCATCATCATCATCATCATCATCATCGTCGTCGTCGTCGTCGTCGTCGTCGTCGTCAACATCGACATCATCATCAGCATCATCATCATCATCATCATCATCATCGTCATCATCATCAGCTTCATCATCGTCACTATCATCAGCATCATCAGCATCAGCATCAGCATCATCATCATCATCGGCATCGTCAGCATCATCGTCAGCATCATCATCTTCATATTCAGCATCATCGCCATCATCATCACAATCGTTATCTCTCAGCATCAGCATCATCATCATCAGCATCCTCATCAGCATCAGCATCATCCGCATCAGCATCATCATCATCATCAGTTTCGCCCTCCTCCTCCTCATCATCACCATCATCATCAGCGTCAGCGTCATCATCATCATCATCAGCATCATCATCATCCTCATCAGCATCCTCATCAGCATCAGCATCATCCGCATCAGCATCATCATCACATCATCATGATCATAATCATCAACATCATCATCAGCATCATCATCACGCCCTCCTCCTCCTCCTCATCATCATACGTTTCCGCCTCCGCCTCCGCCTCCGCCTCCACCCCCGCCCCCTCCTCCGCCCCCACCATCCTCATCCCACGCGCGGCATCCTGCCATGGTGTCCATGGGGAGTATGGAGAAGGGCTCCTCGATCTGGACACCGAGCTCCTGACGAGCAAAGCGCCCTAGCACAGGAGTGGCGGAGGCACAGCGGAGCAAAGACGGTGGGAGAACGAGAAGAAAGGGAAGGGGAGTAAAGGGAGGGAGGGTTCGTTGGCTGAGCCCACCGCTGACGAAGAGCATGCCAGGTGCTCTGAGCATCAGCGCGGAGAGGGGGATAGGGAATAGGGAAGGACAGAAAGAGGAGGAGGGGAGAGAAGGGAAGCACAGGAGAAGGAAATCTAGATGATGGTACAAAGACGGAATACAGGAAGGAGGAGGCAAGGAGAAAGAGGGGAGAGCGAGGAAAAGGCGCTCGAGGAGACGGGAAAGGAGGCCAGGAGGGAGGACGGAGGCGAAGGAGCTGGAGCAGGAGCACGAGTCCCAATAGGGGCTTTTCTCGCGACCCGCATTTCCTCCAACTCCTTCGATACCTCCCCGCCATGCAGATTCATCGTTGGATGGGAAGCACAAGGACATGCTAGTACTATGCGCCCTCTTGGAGGCGCGCGCCCGACCCCAACATACTCATACGACCACCCTTCGCGTGACAAGGAAGTGTGGGGGGGAAACCAACTCACGACAACTGCGGTGATTTTGATGGCGACGATGCTGGCGTCGCGCTCGCGAAACGGCGACAACGCACGATGGCGTCGACGGTGGGCATGCATAACGGCCCGCCTTTAGAGCTGCCAACACCGCGCACTGGCAAAGCCCGGCGCCACTCGGCGCGCCGAAGCATGGGAGGCGGCGCGCTCGAGGCACGGAGACTCAAGCAAGATCCCCCCAAGCATTCTCCACAGCACCGCTTCGCGCGGCGCTGGCCGGGGACGCAGGCCCGGGCGCGTCGCGGCCGCGCCAGGCGCACCGCGCGACGTGACGTGCGGCGGTGCCGAGCGCTATGCGGCACTCCCACCCAGGCGAGCGGAATCGCGAGCCCCCCGACCGCGCGGTGCCACGGCCCCTCGCTCCCGCGAATGCCTTCCGTCGAAGAGCTTCTCGATGTTCTTGCGCGGCGGCAAGGCGACGGGGGCGGCCCCAGCAACTGAGCCGCGGCGGCCCGACCAGTCGCCCCGGCCGCCCCCGGCCATCGGCAGATCAGCCAGAAAGGACTCCGCCACATGCTTCTGGCCGCGCAGCTGCCCCCTGTCCTTTTCCGCCCAGCCCCGTTCCCACGCGCGCGGCCAGCTCCGCCACTCCCCAAGCCATTGCCCGCCCGGCGCCACCCCCCCGGCTGAAGGCGCGGCCGCGGCCCCCGAGCCGACGGCGGCGGCCGACGCACTGGCAGAGCCCGGCACACCGCGACCTCCGATCCTGCCTCTCGCGCGACCTCACCCTTCGCCCATGCGACGGTCGCACCAGGGCCTCAGCACAATTCGGCGCGTTTCGCGATGAAAGTCAGAAGACCCTGGGCGGCAGGAGCTCATTGAACACGCTGCACACTCGCCCACCCCCATCTTCCAATGGCCGATGCACGACGGGCCGAGCTCCACGCCATGCGCGAAAACACTGGCGCGCGAGATCAGCCACGCGCGCCGCAGCGCCCGGCGCAGCGGCCTCCGCGGCTGCATTCTGCAGGCGCGCCGGGGCGCGCAGAGGCAGCGCCTGGCGCCGCAAGTCGGCGCCGCGCAGATGCGCCAACAGTGCAATGAGAGCAGCAACCGCGCGGAGACATCACAGCTCAAACCTTTCGCCTTTCGTTTTGCCCTCGCCGCGCAAAACGAGACGCCGGCCATCTCCTGGCACAGGAGCGCGGCAAGTCCCGAGTGCACTGACAGGCGGGCCTGGCGACGACAATTCCTCTCGCCGCGGACTGCACCATCTGCCCACCGCGGAATTTGTCCGGCGCGCGGATGCATGTATATTCAGCACTGTGTGCGGCCCCGCGAGCAGGCGCGAGCCCGGCAGCCGCGACCACCAACGGCACGGCACAACCGCGGCGGCGCGGCCAGAACGGGAACGGCCACGGCGATGTAAACGGCAGCAGCGGCAACGCTCGCGATGGCGACGACGGCGCAGAAGCCTTGGACACAAGGCACCTGGGGCACCGCGTGGGGACAACTGGGACGTCTCGCTGCCGATCGCACTGTCGATCTCACTGCCGATCTCACTATCGACCTCATTATCGATCTCAAAATCGATCTCACGATTGATCTCACAATTAATCTCACGATCGATCTCACCATCGAGCTCACTATCGATTTCACAATCGATCTCACGTTTGACCGCACGATCGACCTTTCAACAGATGTCACCACGCACCATTGAGGCACACACACACCACGACGGGGCACCCCAAGCCACGGCGGGGCACCCCCAGCCAAAGATCTGCTGTGATCGATCTCACGATCGATCTCACTATCAGTCTCACTGTCGATCTGTCGATCCCACTATCGATCAAGAAGTCGATCTCGCCACCGATATCACTATCGATCTTACAACACATCTCGCGAACAACCATCGAGACACCACGGCGGGACGTCCCGGACCACCGTCGGGACACCCCGCGCCACCGACGGGGCACCCCCGCGCCACCGACGGGGCACCCCCGACCAGGCCGCCGGGGGGGGCTCTCCGTTCCACTGAGACCCCACCCACTCACAGCCGACAATGGCGATGGCAACGATGGCGCGGATAGCGTCGACACAAGGCACCTGAGGCACCACGCGGGAACCGCCAGGACATCTCGCCGTCGATTTCACTGTCGACCTCGATGTCGATCCCAATATCGATATCATCATCGATCTCACCATCGGTCTCACAATCGATCTCATTATCGATTTCACGATCGATCTCACTACTGATCTCACTATCCATCTCACAGATGATTTCACTTTCGATCCCACTGTCGATCTCTTAACAGATCTCACCAAAGCCCCGCGTCGAGCGGCGCGCTGTACCATCGAAACACCAACAGGACAGCATCGCGACACCATCGGAACACCGGCGGGCCGAAAAAACGCCACCACAGCGGCCATTACGGCCACGAGTCTCGCCGGGCCACTATGGACTGGAAGCGGCAACAGCGGAGACGACGTCAACAGCGATGGATCCCACTCGCCTGCAAGCCCGGCCCCGCGAAGCCGGCGGCCCGAGACCCGACAGAGCCCAGCAATGCCTGGGCCACAGAGCTCGGCAGAACGCGCGCCGAATTAAGCACTCCCGCTGCTCCTCCGCCCCCGCGCACAGCCGCGACGGGCGCGCTGCGCGGCGGGCGGCGGCGCCGAGCGCCGCGCGGCACTTCCGCCCGGGCAAGCGGAATCAAATCCCCCGACCGCGCGGCGCCACCGCTGGTCGACCGACGGCGGGATCGCAAGCCCCCCGAGCCGACGGCGGCGCCCGACGCACTGGCAGGGCCCGGTGCCGCGACCTCCGAACGCGACCGCTCGAGGCGCCCTCGCACCGATGCCCGGCGCGCCCCGAAACACCGGCCCCGAGCAGGCCGCGCCGCCAGGCGAGGGAGCGAGAAAGAAGGGAGAACGGACTAGACACGCAGAGAAGGAGGGAAGGGGAGGTCATAGGGCTCTGTCCTTCAGGTCGCCCCCGTCGTCGATGACGATCACGGCCCCGCTCGCTGTCGACAGGCTTGCCACGCGGCCCCGCGAAATCCATCCGCCGCTGCTGCGTGCCGCTCTCTCAGGCGCGCTTGGACATAGAGTCTGGCGTTCCCGGCCGCTCTCGGGCGCGATCTCAGGCGCGCTCGATCTAGGATGTTTGGTAAAACTGATGGATCTCCCCGACTCCAGAACTGGCGCGGGTTTCCACTTGCGGTTCCCTTGCTCCTGCCCTTGCCTCTTGCTTGCCCTTTCTCTCTCCCTCTCTCTTCACCGCCGCTCCGCGGCTCAAGCCTTTCTAAGGCCAAGCTGGGGGTCGGCCTCAGTTGGCCCAAGGCCGGGCCCCGGAGGGGCCAGAAGACTCCCAGGCCTGGGTCCAGGCCTGGCAGGGGCGCCCGCGGCCGCACGATGCCGCGCCTGGCGCCGCGCGGCTGGTGGGCGGCAGCGTCGCCGCCCGCGGGCGCGCAGCTGCGCAGCGGTGGGGGGCCTGGGCGCCGAGCGGCGCCGGCTCACGCCAGCCGCGGAGCACCCAGAGGCGAGGCGGCATCCGTCGAGGCGGGGCCGCCGAACCCCCCCGACGAGCCAGCAGCCAGGCGCGAGCCCGCGCCGGCGCTGGCGCAGTGCCAGGCGGGGGCCGCGGGTTGCGCGTGCGCGCCGGGGCCCGCCTGGAGGAGCTGCCCCAAGGCCCAGACGCCGCCGCCGGTCGGCCGGCGCCGTGGGCGCGCGGCAGCCCTGATGCTGATCCTCGCGATGACCGTCGGGATCGTCGATGCCGACGCCGATGCCGAGTCCGCGTACTACGACGACAACGTGGACATGAGGGAGTTCTGGCTCGATGTGCCCGTGGACCCCTCGATGCACGTGAGCGCGCCGCCGGACGGGGTCTCCCCTACCGGCGGGCGCGCTGCGCCTGCAGGAAGCAGCGGAGGGGAACCACCGCGCGAGCGCTCCGCGCCGCCGGCTGGGCCCCCTCCCCAGGACCCGACCCACCCACCCCCCGACCCCCCCGATGGGGATCCATCGTCCTGGATCAGAGGTTGGGGTCTTTTCGGCATCAGCTGGAAGGACATCGGCAACCGCACCTACTGGTTTGCCGAGGGGATGGGTGGGGGTACCTTCAGGGCCGTGGGGAGCTTCAGGTCTGCCTTCTCGACTCGCGAGGCAGGAGGCTGGCTTAGCTCAGAAGGTGGCTGGGTGCTCTACATGACGGACCAGATGGGCCTCACCCTGTTCGGCTCCGCGTGGCCGCTGATCGCCGGGCTCGTGGCGGTCTTCGCCGGCACCGGGATGGTCGCGCTCTTGGCCCACAGCCTGAGGACGCTCTTCGCACCCTGTAGCTGGGCGGCTTGGACCTGCGGCTTGGTGCTGGCATGCTGCCCTTGCCCGAGGCGCCGTACGCCTGGCGAAGTCAAGCTCGACAAGCTGGTTCCGCCGGCGGCCCCGCCGCTCACCGAC